GTTTGGGAATTTGTGAATTTGGGAATTTGGGAATTTGGAAATTTGGGGATTTTGGGATTTTGGGATTTTGGGATTTTGGGATTTTGGAATTTGGGAATTTTGGGATTTGGGAATTTGGGAATTTGGGAATTTTGGGATTTTGGCATTTGGGAATTTGGGAATTTGGGAATTTGGAACATTTTGATTTTTGCAACTTTGGAATTTGTTAATTTTAGGATTCTGGGCCTTGGAATTTTTCAAATTAAGGGACATTGGAATTTATTGAGTTAGTGGAACCTTAAGACATTAAAATTTGAGGGACTTCGAGACACTCGAATTCTCGATCACTTAAGTTTCTAATTTTTAAATTTTTACACTTTGAAGCTTCAAGATTTTAAAACTTCTGCGCATTCAAATTTTATAATTTTATAAATTCTGTATCTTGCAAGTTTTTGAACTTTTAACCTTTAAATTTGAGAAATTGAAAATAATAAAAATTTTAAATAATTCAATTTTGAGACGTAGGAATTGTGGAAATTCGGCATCTCTATTTGTTGTATCTCAGAGCGATTAAAAATTGGGTGTACTATTTTTTAAATAATGTAAATAAATACAATTGCTTTGCAATATAACTTGTAATACTTATTGTCAGATTATGCGAAAGTTTAAAACGAGTTTGATCTCAGGTCAAAACGTATAAAATGAAAACTTGACGACCGTCACATACATGTTTCATAAGAAATTGGAGCATCGGATGTACGTGATACTGGTTGTGACTGTATTTATGGTACCAGTGTTAAATAAACGGGTATCCACCCACAATTTTAATTATTAACGCGTATTTATTGGGGATAAAAAATCTCAAAGCTCTAAAATCATAAAGCTTCAAAGAAAAGAAAATTTTTTAAGTAAAATAATTGAAAAGTACCGAAGTTTCAAAGTCCTGAATTCTTAAATTTCAAAACTCTCCAATTCTTAAGTTCTTAAATCCTTGACTTTCAACATTTTTAAATGTCAAAATCTCAAAATTCTAAAATTTCAAAATTTTTAAAGTTCAAAATCCTAAAATCCAAAGTATCAAAGTTTAAGTCTTAAAATCGAGAAATTCTAAAATTCCGAAGGCTCAAAATACTAAAACTTAAAAATACCAAAGTTCTAAAATTCCAAATCTCAAAAACCCCAAAATTTTCATATTCTACTCCTAAAATCCTAAATCCCAGAAATTTCAAAGCTGCAAAATGCAAAAATTTAAAAATTCCAAGGTTCTAAAATTCCAAAACTCAAAAATCCCAAAATTCTCATATTCTACTCCTAAAATCCTAAATCCCAAAAATTTCAAAGCTGCAAAATGCAAAAACTTAAAAATACCAAAGTTCTATAATTCTAAATCTCAAAAACCCCAAAATTTTCATATTCTATTCCTAAAATCCTAAATCCCAGAAATTTCAAAGCTGCAAAATGCAAAAACTTAAAAATTCCAATGTTCTAAACTTCCAAAACTCAAAAATCCCAAAATTCTCACATTCTTCTCCTAAAATCCTAAATCCCAGAAATTCCTAAGCCTCAAACTACAAAAATATAGAAACCCAAAATTCCATAATATAGAAATCCAAAATTCTAAAATTCGAAAGTAATAACTACGTAAATATCGGCCAAGATAGTCAAATAATACTACAGTTGGAAAATTTCCATCAAGAATTTAAGCAAAGCGTGTTACGCACAGTTCGTTGAAACAATAGCGCTTCCAAAGAAGCAGTCGTCAATCACATATTTTTCAAAGAGCTCAAGATTATCATTTCTTCTCAATGACCGTGATGCCGTTTCGTATCAACCGACAACACAGTATAACACCTGCCTCAAAAGAAAAATAAATTAAAAAAGATATCACGTGCGTTAACTAGAACACATAGCGTATCTGATAAACCGATTATCAGAACCAATATTTTGATAACGATCGTATCTTTTCCTCAAAAGTTTATTTCTTTTTTCGTGATTACAATCTAAAAAGTAGAATCACGGTTAACATTGTGAAACAGTTCATAAATCACGTGATAATAAATCAACTTCCATTGAAACGCGTAAAAAGGAACAAAATTGTACGATCACCTTGCGGTCTATTTTTAAAGTCGCTCATCTGTCATTGAATTCAAAAAAAGAGCAGACGAATACGTAAGAAATTTGGAACCGGTACAAAATCTCGATTAAGGGCGCAGAAGCAGGGATTATTGATTGTGAAATTTCCAGGCGACCATAATTTATTTGATTCTTCCTCACCCTCGAAAAACGGGGGAAGACCGTATCCTTGGCTCGACACTGAATCGAGAAACTTCATTCACGATTCTCCCCTCCGTTTTCGCCGAAGACGTTCAATCTGAGAATCGCAGGTTTTGGGAAATTTACAATGTGACTCATCGATTAAACACTCCCCGATCTAATCTGTCACATCTGATTAAAACGCAGGTGCACTCATACTGACGTGATGTGCGTCGTAGTTTCTGATAACACTGTCCTGAAAAATAGCTGTTGAATCGTGTGAAAACAAGTAGCTGTCACTTACAAGTAAACCTACCGAAGTGTCACTCTCCGATTTTTCTGAAATTTGGATATGTTATAATACGTGGAAAATTAGGGGACACGTATTTTTTTTTTATTTGCGGTAAAACATATTTAGGGTATGAAACAACCCCACAAAGTGTGAGGGTAAAGTGGAAAAATTGCGATATCTTTGAGATCAGTGAAGCAATTTTGATGATTTCTGATATGAAAGTATCTTTCGATAGAAGACAAAAATTGGCCTAGGTATGTTGGAAGAGGAGTGAAAATTAGGGCGTGAAACACCCCTCCAATTTCTTGCTACAAAAAAATTAGTTTTGATCTGATCGAAATAAAATCTAGTAAAACATCAAGAGGAAAGTTAATTAGGGAACACGTTTTTTTTTTTTTACATAAATATTTGGGGTAACATATCCAAATTTCAGAAAAATCGGACAGTGACCGATTATTATTTATTTTGTAGAT